CGTAACTGAGTGTCATTGATGCCCGATTTTTTCCTCCAGTAACGTGTATAGCACATTCCAGCATTAAGAATGAACCAGTAGAGAAGAAACTTTCAGTTAAATATGAGCTACATTTCTCAACATTCAATGACATGAGTAAACAGTGTCTTCAGAAGCAGAGATTTGGCATAAGATTGAAAAGAGGGAGACAATAGTATTTGCAATAGTTTGTAATGTTTAATGTTTTCTATGGAACTCATTTGTTCAAGCACTCAAAATTTAAAAATGCATTTCTGATACTGGTCATTTTGGTTTGTAGCATATAATGTTTAGTTGTGATATTGCTGAGATTGCTTCCCTCCTACCCCATTATACAACTCCATATAAATGCCCTTTAAATATGTATATATTCAAAGAAGTGTCCTACAATACACGGCTTCAAAATGGTTTTTCTAAAGATCTTTAATGTTAGCTATTCTTCCTCATATGTCCTTCTTCACCTGCCATCCGATCCCTATCTATTAATCTCCCTATTCTAACTTTCCTTTTATAATTTTATTAAATTCTATTCACAAGTGTTTGAATTTTAAAAGACCATGAGACTTTAAAGTTATACTATATTTTGTATTGTCATGCTAACATGTCATAATGGAGATAAAACAGAAAAACATAATAATATAACAAATATATAACTATATTAAATAAAATATAATAAATATATAAATAATATAATAATTAATAAAGTAAAAATATAATAAATATAATACAATAAATCTAATAATAATATATTTGTGTGACATGTAGGCAAGGGTTCCATTGTGGTAGTTAGTTTTTGTTAATTTAAAGCAAACTAGATATACCTGGAAAAAAGGAACCACAGTTAAGGAATTACCTCCAAAAGATTGGTTTGTCGGAATGTGTATAGGTTATTTTATTGGTAAACGATTGATATGGGACAACTCAGACCACCACGGGCAAAGTCATTCCTGTACAGGTAATCCTTTATTATATCAGAAAGCAGGCTGAGCAAGACATGGAGAGCAAACCACTAGGCAGCACGTCTCCATGGCCTCTTTTTAAATGTTTGCTTTCAGATTCTTAGCTTAAGTTGCTGCAACCCTTTAATACAGTGCCTCATGTTATGATGACCCCCAAAATAAATTTTTTGTTGCTGCTTCAACCACACCTTTGCTGCTTTTTATGAATCATAATATAAATTTGTCCTATGCATGATACCTGATATAAGACCCCCATGAAAGGGCCTTTCAGTCCCCAAGGGAGTTGTAGCCCACTGGTTGAGAACCAGTCCTGTAAACAGAATAAACCCTTTCCTTCTCAAGTTTCTTTTGGTCAGTAGTTTAGCATAGCAATTTTTAAAAAGGCAGACCAAAATCTATGAAATTATGAAAGAAAAAAATTATTAATAAAAATCCTGAACCATAGACTAAGTAAACACAATAGACATTTACATCTTCAATCCAGTTAACTATGAAATAAACATTCATATCAGAACCCTATGTAACATTTTTTGTAACAATAAATCATATTTTAACATAATTTAGGGCTTCATATATGTAATAAAATGAAATATTGCTTCCTACCTTATTAGGTCATTATGAAATATGAGCTAGAAATCAAAAGTAATAGGAGACATACTAGCTAAAAGATATTGAAAAATATGTTATTCAAAGAAGAGTAGTCAAAAAATAAATCAGAGAGAAAACTTTTAATATTCTAATCCTTTTTAATTTTAAAAATTCCTAGAAAATTGAAACAAATTATCAGAACTTTTGAGATACAATAAAAGTGGTCTTAATCCTTGGACTTCCCATAGGTCAGGGAACCCTGTTTGCTCTTCGAGCTGATGAGGGAGAGGGACTTGATCGGGGGAGGGGGAGGGAAATGGGAGGCGGTGGCAGGGAGGAGGCAGAAATCCTTAATAAATAAATAAATTTAAAAAAATAAAAAAAAGTGGTCTTAAGACCACAGGTTATAGCTTTGGGTACATACACTAAGTAATCAGACCTTGTAAGAATCTAATAATGCCCTTCAATATATTAGGAAAATAGGAATAAACACAGTTGAAATAACAGAGATCACAGAAAAATTCATGAAATTAATGCAATATAGTCTATAGGAATACAAAGAATCAATTAAATGTAGTTGGTCCTTTGAAAGTAAATACAGTTGAAAATTACTAGGCTAAAACAGAAAGAGAAAGTGAAAAATCAATTTCTATGATGAACATCAATGCAAAAATTATTGAAGAACTTTCAAATCGAACACACACTTTTGGCCATGATGAACATTGATGATGTATTAGTTACTTATCATTTGTTGCAACAAAATACGTTAGAAAAGTGTCTTGGGGAAGCTAATTTAGATTTCCAGTCTCATAGCTTATGTTCATCATGGAAAGGGAGAAGGTGTGGCTGTCCCCATTGAATTTACCTACTGTCAATAACTTGAAAAGTTGAGACACACAGTAGCCTCTCAGGTACTCTAACACTGACACACATTGATATATCTGTAGAACCTTGGAAGAAGACATTGTTACACCTCAGAGTGTTTTGCTTTTTATTCCTGCAAAACCACTACCACATGAGTGATGCAGCCAAGTTCTATTGCTAACTCATGATGGAGCCTGGATCAAATTTTAATCTGTTTCTGGCTCTCAATTTTGAGAAAATACTTCCTAGTGATTTGTTTGGAGAGATTGGAAGGCCTTTAGTGGTTTCTCAAATTAAACACTCTTCTGTCAAATTGACTTGCATTTTCAGAAGATTAAGTTGATTGATGGGGTCTTGCCCTCAATACCTTTCCTCTGGTATTGTTGAAGTTATCTACTTTTTTTAATGGTGTTAATCTCTTTAAATATCACAGCTATTTTCACGAAACTAGCCTTTTTGTAAACTTTAAGCTACCTCAAGACAATTCATTTCTCCCTTTTGAATTCAGATTCCTATTTTTTAACTCAGTGTACTGTTCTGAATTAGCACCCCCATTAAAAAATTGACTAAAGTAATTATCATTAATAGCCATATTTTCATAAGCCTGGAAAATTCTGACTCTGTCTTTCTTCATTTAGGATGATAGTGTTCACAGTTTTTTTAAAAAATTACATGTATCAACTCCAGAAAGTCTGATTCTGTTCTTATTCAGTGTTTATTACACATGTGTACTTATTTTTGTAAACTCTTTATATTCTGAGTCAACTTAACTTTTTAATATGATTAATTACACAAATTCAGTTTTTAATGCTAAATAGTGCTGCATTCTTAGATTGAACTCCACCTGATCAAGAGGTAGTATCTTTACATATTTTGGCATTTTATTTATTTAAGTACATTTAAGAATGGTTCACACGTGTGCATGCTGTCTACCACTGAATCTCTTCTCCCTGGGGATTCAGTGTTCCTAATTCTCTAGCAAGGCTCTCTTCTTTACTCTAAAAAATATTCTACTCATGCCATTATACCTTTATGTTATATTAATTCTGTTTTAATAATTTTATGATTTGATATTTCTTTGCTTAGTGTTTATACCATTTCAATTGAATTTATACAAATGTAACTTTTTGCCAGATATTTTAAAGGTAATTTTATAGTCCTTCTCAAACCATTCTAAAAGGCAGTTTGCCTTGTCATGAACTGGTTAAGTTCTCTCTCAACTGTTATTGTTTTGCTTTAAATAATTTTTACTTCATCTTCACTAACTTTTTAGAATTGTGTTAGATAATTGTTAAAGAAGATCCTATGTTAGTTCCCTATTTTTTTAAGTTTGGAATTAACTGTTAATTCACAGGTCTGGCTATGGATCCTTTTAGACTATGTAGTAAAGAGTCTACTTGCAACGTTTTGTTCTGGTTGATTGATCTTTTTCTCACAGGAAATCCAACCGGTTTCTGCTTTTTTAGCCTGAAAAGATGAGAGAGCTTTCCAGATCAGCGTCCTGGTGTCACTTATTAGGGAAGGGTTGTTTTAGCTGGAGGTTTCCCTTCAGTCAGCCCTTGCACTGAGGGAGGGGGCAAGTTGATGTTAATGGTGAACCTTCTTTACCATCCTAGGCTTTTTTCTTCAGGGTGGGTTTTCTGGAGTTTCAGGATGAGAAACTCTGACCTCTGTTCTGGCTTCACAGTCTCTCTGTTTGTGAAAGAGGATTTAGGGAACACCATGAAATCCCCAACATGAAAGAGATTGTCTGTTGATGAGCAATTCATGTTTTTGTGTTTATTTTAACCACTTCTTCATTAAAGATTCCTAGATCTATCTGTGGTGCACATCAAAATTTATAATCATACCCATGTTTGTGAGATTTGCTACAACTACATTGTGACTTACACATCTCCAACTCAGCCTTTCATTCTTTTCTTACGTTGATTTTCCATTGATTACCTTTTATTGCATAGATTTTTAGGCTAATCATAACTGTTTCAGCTGAGAAAACTTGACCTACTTCTTCTATAATTTCAAATGCTGAAAATTACTGATGATCCCAAATGCTTTTGCTTTCTCAGATTTTCAGGAAAAAGAAAAGCTTTAGTAAAATTTCGAGGAAGGGTTTTTATAAGTTGATGAAGCTTTACAAAAATTCTCTGGTCTATACCAGCAATATCATTTTCCTTTTACCATCAAAGATTACTCAGTTTTACACTATAAAAGAGATACCAAATAAATAGCAAGTAAATTAACAGATATACTGGCTCCAAAATTACTCAATGTCTGCAATTCCGTATACCCTATGATCTCATCTCTAACACTGCCTAATTTAAACTTGACTCAAGAGGTGCTCCGTGGATGTGACTGAGAGATTTGCAGTACAGCTTATAACACTGCAGCAAAAGGACGTGTTGGGTCTATGACAGCATTCTTGGGGAAATTATCCTTTTATCTTTCTCGGTGTTTCTAGTAACAAGAGAAAACCAAGTGGTGGGAAAACAATCAATATTGCCCAGGACTGATAATTATAAGAAATTGTGTAACTAAGGATGGCTACATTCTTTTCACCTTTTCTGTTTGCAGGTCCAGGTTCTCCGGAACGCTGGGGAGGAAGTGACGCTGACGGTATCATTTTTAAAAAGGGCACCTGCTTTCCTCAAGCTCCCACTGAATGAAGACTGCGCATGTAAGCATTTGTAGAGTGGAGTGAGGAATCCCAGCACTGCATTTACTCTCTTCCCTCTCTTCTTTCCGACCAGTAGTTGGCATTTTTTTCATAGAGTACAATGTGATATATTAATACACGGACATGCACATTGCATGTAGTCACCAAATCATGTGGCATTAGCTTCTCTTGCAAGATAAGAGTTTATAATTTCTGTATGTTGAAAATATTCACACCTCTGCTTTCTGGTAATAATGAAATTACCCACACTGCTATCCCCTGCATTTTCATTACACCCAGCATTTTACTGTGCTCTATCTGATTCTTAGCATTCTTATTTCTTTGGAATAAATGCATTTTCAGAACATTTTTACATTATTTAAAACAATTTTTTCTTCTTGTTGAGGTTTTCCTTTCTCTCCCTCTTGCCCTCTCTCCCTCTATCCCTCTCTCTCCCGCTATTCCTTTCTCTCTCTCTCTCTCTCTCTCTCCACACCTATGGTCACTTGCCAAGTTCTAGTATTGGTGTAAGTCAAATTTCTTTGTGTTTTATTTTCCAATTTTATATTATCATCGAAAATAATTATACACGGTCGTTTTGGAACAGCATGACATTGTAACCTGTAAGATGTTATGTTTTTGTCTCTTGTAGGTGCTCCAAGTGACCAAAGCAGTGGTACCTCTTCTCCTCTTTGTGACAGTGGCTTGCATCTCAACTACCATCCAAACAACACAGTAAGACAGCTGGATACAGTTGAAACTAATAAGGATGGCCTAAGAGCAGAATATACCTGTATTTGTGGTTTGTTAACACCATTATTTTTTTCTGAAAAAGCTGTACTTCTTGCTGACATCACTAAGATTTAAGTGATAAGATGAGCCAGAAGGAAAAACCAACAGCCAGGTTTTTTGTGCATGGCATTTTTAAATCAGGTGTACCTTATTAGTCCTCTGGCCGTGCTGGAGACTGGACTAGGACAAGAAGAGGAATAGAATCATATTATTTCAGAGATTTGCATGCCATATAGAGTTTCAGGAACTACATGATTTGACAGGATTTTTGACTTTTATTTTCATACCAGTTAGGTAAATATTTCCATCATTTGTTATTTTTTTATGATCTTTAACCATATCATGAAACTCCTACAAATAGAGAAAATTTTAGCATATAAATTATGATAAGGAACATCGAATATCAAACTGTGCATTCAATAAAACATGCATTAGCACTCTAGTTTTATTGAATTTAATTAAATTTTTAGTGGTGAATTTTCCACATTTGTTTTTGAATAAATTAGCTATCTTTATTAAATACTTCTGAAATTTCTTATTTTAGTATTCAAAACACATGTTATAAAGAAAAGAAAACTAGTCACTCTGTTTATATGTAGACTTAAATATGAACTAACCTTGCCGACCTTAAGTACATATTAATTTTTCTGATCTCCAATAAAGCACTATTCATCCAATATTAAAAGCGTTCATTTAATTAAGGAATTTTATTTCAAAAGAAGCTTCTGAAAATTTGCAAGTCCAAACAAATTTTGTTGTTCCTGATTACACTGACCTTATTCCATAGCTAGATGATATAGGTTTTCCAGGTTAATTACCATATTTATTTATTCATTTATTTTGTAATGAGAAACATTTTTATAACTTGTAATATAGCATGAAAGAAAATATCTTACAGTTTTTTTATCATTATATTTGTCAACAATTAGGAGTTTCATTATAATGTTTCCATACATGTATATGACATTCCATGGTTACACATACACATACACATGCGTATCTCTATCTATCATCTCTATCTATCTATCTATCTATCTATCTGGAACTCTATAACATTTTATTATCCTGTTCTCCACTGATTTTTATTATTATATATTTATAATCTTCTATCTTTTTTCCTTTCCCACCCCAGATGCCATATATGAGAAAAAATATACTTTTCATGTTGTGTGAGACCAGATAAAGCCCAAACTACTGATCATCTAATGTTTCCAGGATCTGAGTGATTTAAAACTCTAATTTTCAAGTGAGCAAAAAATTACACATACAGAAGCAGTGATCTGATCAATACAAATGACAAATGTCTTGCGTTGTCCAATCAACATGTGTGTGTGTCTGTCTGTCTGTCTTTCTGTCTGTCTGTGTTACTTGGTTGGATCCAGGGCTTCTTTATGTTAGGCAAGTAATAAGTGATATTACACTGAGTTTCCCTGGCCCCATTTGTTAACACATACACACACGCACACACATACACACACACATGCACACACGTGCACACACGCACACACACGCACACACACATTTATAAATTGTTGCTCACCATTGTTTCCTTGGTGCCCATTATCCTCAATTATTGTGCTTATGCTGGTGCTGTGAACAGCTGTGTCCTTTCATAGCTGATCGCTCCTTTCAAGTGTTTCCCTGAGAGTCACGGGCCCCTGAAGTGAATTCAGGTTTTCTGTGTGATTTGCGTAGAGGAAGGAACAAGAATGGCTTTCTCTAGATGATCAGCAGAGGAGGTGGAACAAATATTTTGACAAGATATTGGCTATAAAGCCTAAGCTTCCTCCAGTCTTCCAGGTTTCCTCTGAGATTCCCCATTAGTCATGTTCAGAAGACAGAAAACCCACCTCATCTGCTTCAGCCCTGAAGAAAGGTGTTTGTTCATGTTCTTAATGTAGATTTTGTCTGAAGTCCTTTATCTCCTCTGCAGTAATGGGAAGCAGAGAAGTCAGGATGAAAGGCTTAAGAGAAGGAATCATTATGGTTTGCTACTCATTGCATTGTTTTATATAGAAATAGCACTATTATTCTTTAGAAACCTGTAATTAGGACATAGCAATTACATAATAATAATTACATATTATTACTAAATCTGCAGCCTCACTATTTTCATCATAGACAGTTGTATAGAATTCTGAATACAACATGACATATACATTCCATGCTACCATAGGTTTATTCATAATGTATTATTATTTTTATCATTAATGTTGAAATATATTGTTACATTGATAGATGTATTTTAGTGTAATGAAAGTCTATAATGGTGATATAAAGAAGAATCAACGTACAAATTCAAGCAAAACATATTATAATGAGGAAATATTGGTGTATTTCCATCAAATAAAGTCTTGCTGAAATCTAGAGAGGCACTTAATGGGGTATTACAGGAAGTACTTAATTGTGGTTTCTGGCCTCCAGAATGTTAAATACCTTTAATAGAAAGAACGAAAGAACTAGGGAGGTGTTAAGACTCTGAACATGGATGTAGTTGAGATCTGAAAGCTGGAAGACTATAAAGTGAAGGTGGCTCTGCTCCTCTTGGTGCATCTGCTGATTCTGTCTTCTGACCTGAGTGCAGTTGTTCAAACCAATTTCCCTTCCATGCTCTGGATAAGCTTCAATACAAGAGGAGAGACTAGAAACTCTTCCTACTCGCAGATTTACAATTATCTTCACTATTGTTTAATAACAAAGAAATTGTATGGAACTGCATTTTGAACACCTATGATTTTTTGTTTTTGGTTTTTCAAAACAAGGTTTCTTTGTGTTACAGTCCTAGCTGCCATGGAATTAGCTCTTGTAGACCAGGTTAGCCTTGAACTCACAAAAATCCTCCTATATCTGCTTCCCAAGTGCCACCACCACCCAGACCCAATATCTATGATTTTTAATCAAATTTTAAGTAATCGGATATTGTTTTGCTGAACTATGATTTTAGAAAAGCACTTTAAAAATCAGGAGAAATCAAGCCTTAAATATAAAATTTCGGTTTTTAATGACTACTCCTACATGGACAAAATGTCACTGATTTCAGGTACACAAATATCCCTTCTATTGCTGAAGCTGAGTTGTCTGAATCCTGTTCCTTATTTTTTTTTCTGGAGGTGAAGTTAAGAAATTCCTTCCTAATCAATGGAAAATGACACTTACTCAGATAGTCAGATAATACACTTTGAAAACACATTCCTTATCTTCACACCTAGAGTCGGCTTTCTATGCCAACTTATTTTATAAAATATTCGGACTGGCATTTTATTCCACGTATAATTCTTTTTTTTTGGCAATTTTGTTGTTAAAGAAGCCTTGAAATCTGTATCTTATCTTCATAATCAAAATAAGAATTATTTTTAATGGTGTTAAATATTCAGCTGTGAATATGATTTATAGTAGCATCTATATCAGGCTAAATTATTCTAAAAGTTGAAGTTGGGCATATTTTATAGATTTTCAAAGAAGTATAAAATGAAAAAAATGACCTTTTCCATTTTAATTTATGAAGGTATTAAATGCAATTAAAATATATTTTCAGATCTATTACTTCTAACAGTGTTATGTAAATATCATGCCCACTTATTGCTGTCATTGTCCTTGATATCACATTGCCCCAATCCTTTAATATTCTTTCATACATTCTCTTATGTATTCATAGAAAATGATAACCAAATGGAGGAATTCATATTCACAGAATATGAAAAGTCACTGTTAATAATCTACCAAATATATTGCTAATATGTCAAATAACCAACAAAAAATCTCAACTATTCTTTTAATTATTTCATATCTGCTTATAAATGTGAGATGTGTTGTGATAGATGTTTTTACTGTGGAATCAAAGAGGAGTTAGTTGTAATGAATCAATCATCCCTGGCTGTCACAGGTTGGATGACTTAGCAAATGAATTTCTTATAGATGCCCATCTACATAGATGAGTGATTGACTACCATGACGTATAACATAAATAATCATTCCCATTACTTGGCTCAGCAACCCTGAAATCTGGCAGGAGGACAGTAGATGGAAGGTCCTGATTAATTGGGAAGCTTTGTTTATCTGCCTAGACTATGCTTCAAAGTATGGAGGCTGCCCCATGTTTCTCCTTTAAATAAAATGATTCATTGCTGCTGCTGAACATAGTCCTGTATTCATGCAGTAACATGAGCATTATCTTTATCTTGAAAAAAACATTACAAAGTACTTAATGAACCAGAGATAATAGTATAGATGATAATAATAAGGAACATGTGAGCAGATTATTGTGAGACTGTAGAAGTGCTTTTCCTATAAACTTCATACTTATAAATAGCCTGGCCACTTACTGATTTTTTTTTAGATAAAATATAATTGCATAGTTTTTCCTTTTCCCTTTACTCACTCCAATCTTTCCCATGTCAACCCTTGCCCCCTCTCAAATTCATAGTTTTTTTTCCTATGTTACACAAACACAGAGACAGACAGACAGACAGACACACACACACACACACACACACACACACACACACAGAGAGAGAGAGAGAGAGAGAGAGAGAGAGAGAGAGAGAGAGAGAGAGAAAGACACAAAGAGAGACAGAAAGAAATGCATAAATGCATATATTCAATCTCATGAGTATGTTTAGTGCTACATGTGTGATTATAATTTCAGGGCTGACCACTGGATACTAGCAAACCAAATAGGTAGCTCACCCCTAGGGCATATTAAATTTCCCACTTTCAGAATTTCTTAGTTATATCTACTTCTTTTTCTGTGATTGGGTACTGGAAGATATTCCTCTCTGACATTGGCGTATCTGTTGGTACTGTCATGGTTCAGGTCGTGACTAGGCAGCTATAATCCCAATTTCATTAGTGAAGGCTCCATATCATTTCTAGAAGACACAATATCAGATTCCCAGATATTTTTGCTCTTGCAATCTTACCCCATCTTCTTAGACGGACTCCAGTCCTTAGGGGGAAGAGTTGGATTCACTGGAATTAGGCATCCCAAGATTATGTTTTGTCTATATTTGGGGCAGTTGTTGTTGTCTGTAGTGAATTTTCCTGCAAGAAGGTTCTTTGAAAAGATTGAGAGTGGCGCTTGCTTATGGGTATAAGGAGAAGCAGTTAGAATGCAGCTAAGAATTGTGCTCATTTAACGCAGTGAAAACATGTTCTCCTCTTAGATGCATGGCCTTACTAGCTCCAAGTTTTGGCTAGATTTCAAGTACTAGGTGAGATTTTCTTCTAATTGGACCTTAAATTCTATTAGGCAGCTTATGATTATAATCAAGATGTGAGTTCCACAATTGCACCCTTAGGGGTAGCTTTCCATTCTGTTCATTATTGTAGTTAGTAGGTGTCACAGCTGTATCGGAGTGACTATTGGTTGCTTTCCTTCATTGAAAGCTTATTGCCACAATTTGAATTGTTAATATGGGGGTGCCAAGTGAATTCTAAAACAATACAGACTGCTGTTGTTTCCCCTACTTGCCTTCCGGAGATTAAATATAAGTCATTCTTACTGAAGACACCGTGCACCTCTGAAACAAGACTTAAAAGACATGAGCTGTATCTGATCAGAAAACATCCTTTCCTTTCTGAGTTCTATATTTAATGACACCAGAAAGGTCTATTGGTTACACAATATCAAGCAGTCATTCCCGAGAACATATGCACTCTAGAAAGATTACATGAACTGAGCAGATTGCATGTATGTATTTAAGAATACACAAACACAATGTAATAAAGAAAAAGATGGCATGAATTGAATGAGACAAAGATGAGGAGTGCACAGGAGATTTTGAAGGGAATTAAAGAAAAGTGAAAATTATATAAATATAATCCCAAAAATTAATAAAAAGGTATTTTAAAAATCCCCCAACAGCCGGGCGATGGTGGTGCACGCCTTTAATCCCAGAACTCGGGAGGCAGAGGCAGGCGGATCTCTGTGAGTTCGAGACCAGCCTGGTCTACAGAGCTAGTTCCAGGACAGGCTCCAAAGCCACAGAGAAACCCTGTCTCGAAAAACCAAAAAAAAAAAAAAAAATCCCCCAACAAACCAGTTATAATATTGAACACATATAATATTAAAGGAATAATTATATCCTTGATATGACATGAAAGTGATGTAAAAGGACCTAAACTTTTTGAAACTAAATGAAAACAGTGTTCAAGACTTCCTAGAGCAGGGTGTTATAGATTCACTTGCAGGAATGTTCATTAATTCGGAAATATTTTCAAGATTCATAATGAATATGTTCAGCGTGTGTTTACACATTGGCATTTAAAAGATATTTGTAAATATGACAATATTTGGATACTTGCAGGCACTCAAAACTCTTGGCCAATTGAACAATGACTTCATCTTCCAAGAGGTTTTGTTGCTTCCCCGTGGTAGTAACTTTTCCAGTTTCTTCCATTCTTGAACAGATTCCACTCTGTTACAGTTTCATGTTTTCTTCCTCTTCACCCATAATTTTCAGGAATTTTCTTGGTCTTTCCTAGCCTTCTTACAGAGCTCTGTTAACAATGACATTTTGAAGTAGAATTCTGGGCCCAAGAGTGGGTGATCACTTAGGCTTATCAAACTATTGAAAACAATTGAAAAAATTAATGTCCCCCAGTGATAAGTCTGGGAACACATGGAAACACAAACCTTCTGAACATGTCACTCTTTTCAGGATACACTTTCCTGCTCTTCGTGGCCCACATCTCCAGGCCTGCGGTGGGAGAAGCGGTGGTGTGACCTCAGGCTCATTCCTCTACTGCATGCCCGCTTCTCCCAGTACCTGCCCGGGACTGACCTGAGTCGGTGAGTCTGTTTACAGGTTCTAATCTCTGATTGAAAAGGGTCAATGCTCAAACTTTCAGCATAATGTGCCATGTCATTCTTATTTTAGCATGTTTCTGATAGTACAAGAGAGTTGTACAGGAATCCTCTCCCATTGTAGACCATGGTAAATATGGAACCCAAGGGAGTGGAAGCCCTGTTTCTGTCATAAATAATTGCAGTGGATCTGAGATATATATATATATATATATATATATATATAATTTATTGGGCTTAATATTTCTCGAGTTAATTTTAATAAGCTGTTTTATATTCAAAATACTCATATTGCTTTTACATTTATCTTTTTGAGTGATGCTAGGAATCTAACCGAGGGTATTGAGTAACACCTGAGACCTTTGAAGTTAATTATCTACCATTGTCATGTTAACAGTTTTGTAAATTAGTATATATGAGTTTGCTTTTCATTTTTTTTTATCATGCTCAGTATTGCTAAGGATGTGGAAAGAATTGTTTTTCAATAGCAGATTTGTGGGTTGTGTCCATCCCTTCTTTCCATACAATTTAATTGAAAAGTTTCTGCATTTTTTTCTTGATTTTTCTTGTTGTTGTTCTGCTTCCTGAGTCCCTTGGTTTGATACTGTGCCTGATGCTTATTATCATCATCATTATTATATATTTTTTGAGATAGATGCCTCAGGGACTGAGAAACCTCTTTGGAAAGAAGGGATTTCTGTCTGTTTCCACCAAAGCTTCTTGATCAGCTCAGACACACAGCTGGCAGCTGCTCACTAGGTCAGTCAGGCTCCAAAATGGTCCTTTGGTTGGTTTATACCTTCTTGCGTCCTTGAGCTCAGACTTGTGACTTATGCAGCTTATAGCTTTCCAGTGTGGGAGGCATCTTCAAGGCCCTGCTAGGGATGGGTAAGATAAGGAACCTCAAGGTAACAATTATCTTGTCACCACTCAACTCCAAGGTCCCTCTATAACGAATGATTAGCCTTTCCTGGCCTCCTCTTGCTGACTGCTTGTAGTCAAGGTCTTCAGCTGAGAAAGGGGACCCCAGGAGTATGCAGCCACTTTTTCCTTGTCAGCATCTAAAATTCACTTGGGTTAATAACCGTCTCTTCTCATGTACTAAATATTTTTAAACCATGGGCTACATGAGAATGTACTTAAAAATTTTGAAGGAGTTAAGAAGTTGAATTGTTGTTTTGATTTTGGCTTTTTTTGTGATTTCATCATGGATAATTTTAAACCTGTGATATTTGTTGAAAGCAAGTTTTTCTCCAATTGTATATTATTTGGGGAAATGTCTCCCCTGTTTTTATAAAAGCACCGGCATCATCATTTTGTTGTGGAGTTCTACATATTTCAGTTTGAGCATATCCATTTATGAGGAATTTTGATCTTCAGAATTATGTATGATAATTTTTTTATGAATTATAAAAAATGCATTGGCTGAGTTAGAGTCCATTTTGATGATAAATATATGTATTTCTACTTTTAGTTGTCTGAATTTGCTCTCTATATTTAATTTTAATCTATAGGATACACAAAGATTTAAAATTTCTATATCTATGCTTATTTTTTAAAAATTACACTATGTTTTCTTTGTTCAAATGTTTATCTATATGACAGGAGATTGGTATTGATGAGTAAGTGCCTGTATATTTCTCCCTTCCTTTAATAATTCCTAGTTTCTAAAAAAATCTCTCCACGGTAGCATATGTTTGAAATTTTTCTTCGTTTTTTGTTTTTATTCCAAATTAAAAAAGTAATACTATAACTAAATTATTTAATCTAGTAATTTCTTTGAATTTAGGTAATGATATATTTTGTATTATATCTACTAGTCTGATACTTTTCTATATGAAATACTATTTTTATGATTATACCATTTCTGTTTTGAAGTGATTGTGGAGTAATATTCAGGCGGAAGAAGTGATATATAAGATTTTTTGTACCTTTAACAATTTTTATAATAAAACAGCTTTCAAAACTGTAGTGTGATTTCATAGCCAGAAAATTGGCATTGATAACATCTTCATTCCACTATTACTTTGTGTGAGTTTCTTACCTCTATAAGATCATTGTGGAATTTAGTGTAAGATGTATTACACTCATTTATGCTGTGTAATGTTTGTTTAATGATGCTAAGATGTGTTTCGTTCTTTTATATTGCACTTGTTTAACTCTGTGAAGTTGTGCTGCTTTGCCTATCTAAAATAATTGATTGATCTAATAAAGAGCTGAATGGACAGTAACTATGCAGGAGAGAGGATAGCAGGGCTTAGGCAGAGAAAACAGAGGAATAACAAGAAGAGGAACAGGAGCAATAAAAGAAGGAAAGCAGGATGGCAGGGGCCAGACACCCAGGCACACAGCTAGCCACAGAGTAAGAAGTAAAGAAAGGTATAGAGAATAGAATCAGGTAAAAGCTCAGAGGCTAAAGATAGACGGGATAATTTAAGTTAAGAAAAGCTGACTGGAAACAAGCCAAGCTAAGGTGGGGCATTCATAAGGAAGGATTAGCCTCCATGTTTTATTTGGGAGCTGGGTGGAGAGCCCCCAAATAACAAATAGTAAAATTTCAACAACATGGGATGATGTAGCCTTTCCTTATTTCTTCATGTAAAATCACAATTGAGACCATAAACATCTCCCTCATCTATGAATCCAATGTGGTCCTTCATGATACACTTGAATACCTTTTTCCTACAACCTTTGTTGTTTGTAAGCCTCAGCAATTACAAATCTATTCTTTATCTCTATTATTTCATCATTTTGATGACGTTTTGTTAATGGATTCATTTACCACAAAGGCTTATTAGATTCAGTATTGCTTAGGAGAATTGGTAGCTTCCCTTTTCAACTCTTCATACCCCACTATTTTTTTCCTTTTCAAAGTAGTTTAATCATTTTTTAAAAAAGTAATGACCATTTTTAAGACATTAGGTTTTATGATAACCGGTGAATAGCACAAATGATATAAATAGTGGCACAGAGATTTGATAGATGGTAATTTCTTTGGAAAGCATTGGCTGGGAGATTTGTAAGAGCTCGATGAATCTTTCTAGCGTCAGTCTGTCCGTGTCCCTTCTTACTACAGGTTCGAGAGCTTGCCAGTTGCTTTATCCTCCCAGGCGATGTGATACATGCCTCCTGCTAATGCACATTCTAGTGATGTTGACCAGCTTTTAATTATATTTGCCAACTAAAAATTTTACTTTGATGAAACGTCTGGTTATGTCTTTAGTCCATTCTGTAATTTCTAAATTTATTATTTTTAATGTTTACAACTGTGAGCCCTACATATGGTCAAGGACTTTTCTTTGAGTCCTTTCTCTCAATAAGCTAACTGTACTAATCTATTTTATTTTTTCTTTAATTTTTAGGTAGTCATTTGTACTTCTTTATTTTCTCTATCTTAGGCTGATGCATAATGTAATACACATATCCATTTATTGTTTTAATTTGGCCTGAACTTCACACTTGCATGGTTGTTTAGTGTAATATAATACATTGATTTCACTTTTTTCTGGAAAAATTATATAAGTTCAGAACATTGAACATTTTGGGCTTTCCTTGTCTATTCAACATTTGGTAAAATTTTAATGATATTTATCACAGAGTTCTCAAAACATATTATTGCTTTCATAAGTCTGTCTATTTAAACATACCCTGCTTGTAATCTATCTTTAAGCTCCTTGAATACTTTCAGAGATGTATGATGATTTAATTTCTGTGTCCTAGACTTCATCTATATAATACTCATTGTCAAGCATTTTCACATGACTGGTCAATTTTGGCCAGAAAATACAGGCTTAATATACGGTTGGTACTTTGGAGATAAGACTGGGCATTTGGATTTTCTTTATTTGATTTAACTTTGTTATGGATGAAGTAGTATTGGGGAGAAAGAAGAATGTGGAAGCACACTAAGCCTAAAAGTTAGAAGTAGTTTGGATAGACACAGTCAGGTATTAAGATTTGGGTCATAGTGTGTGGGTGCACCCACACACACTGAGACAATGGGGATGTTCTATCGGGAATTCACCAAGGCCAGCTGGCCTGGGTCTGAAAAAGCCTGGGATAAAACCGGACTTGTTGCTGAACATAGCAGACAATGAGGACTACTGAGAACTCAAGAACAATGGCAATGGGTTTTTGATCCTACTGCACGTACTGGCTTTGGGGGAGCCTAGGCAGTTTGGATGCTCAACTTACTAGACCTGGATGGAGGTGGGTGGTCCTTGGACTTCCCACAGGGCAGGGAACCCTGATTGCTCTTTGGGCTGATGAGGGAGGGGGACTTGATTGGGGGAGGGGGAGGGAAATGGGAGGCAGTGGCGGGGAAGAGACAGAAATCTTTAATAAATAAATTAAAAAAAAAGATTTGGGTCTTAGCTGGGTGTACAGGATGTGATTCCTGTTCCAAGGTGGGAATGTGGGAGCAGATAAGACTTTATGGAAAGGTTGGGTGTGACATAGTGGAATCTGTTGTGTTGTGGGTAAATAGGAGGATATGGGCCCAAGCATAGAGTGAAAGGAGAGGAGACTAGTTTTGGCTGCAGCACAGGTTGTGAGAACCTGGTCTAAATTTTGTAGATTACGGAAAATGTGTGGATGAAGAGGTCAGAACGACACATCTTTAGACGCTGGAGGAGGACTTGGGAAGTCTGGGTATTGGGTTGGTGAATTTCAAGGGTAGAACATTATAATTAATATGTATTCCTATAAGGGTCAGCAAACCTTTTTCTTTTAATAGAAAAGCTGAAAGAAGAGTCCCAAAGTCTAATCAGGGCGAGAGGACAATGGGCCTGCTGCCAGTGATTTGAGAACAATTGTTAATTGAGAGCTAGAGCTCTCGTTTTGTTTCTTTCTTTCCTTTGCAATTACTCGAGATTAACTAATTGTCCAATCTAGGCATGTATGGAATAATTTGCAAGCTCTTATAGATGAGGTCTTATTATAAATAGATCCAGCAACCATTCTTTCTCAAAATACACTGTGCCTTTTGCATCCCTATGTTTGTTTTGGGTTTCTTATTTCTGTGTAAAATTTAGGCTTTCCCTTGCTTTTCCCACCATAGATGTTCTGTTTCTTAGGTCAAAAACCCTGGAGGAATTTTGGTTCTGTTGTCTCTCTTACTATTCATTTTTAATCATGGAGCTATTGAACTGCATCCATTTGTCCAAGTGTCCTACTCCATCTGTGTACCTTAGAAGATTTTCCCAGTCATATTACTTTCCCTAATAATAGGCTGACCCACACTGCTTATCTACCCATGGTAACAAATGCTTACCATGGATCTATGCTAGCTTTTCATTGCCAGGAAGTCCCACAGAGCCTTTACCAATTTTCTATGCCTATTCTGTATCCAGTATCCTGCTCATAGTGACAGTAATCAAGTCACAATAATTTTGTATACTTAAGCCTCTGAAATTCTTGTTTCTAATGCACAAATATAATTGTTTATCTTATTTCTCTTAACCAAACCCTCACAAAGTAAGAAGACTTATGACTTAGAATCAATTATTGATAAAAAATAAGAGTAATTGACTTCAATAATTAAAAATGTATGTATTTACATTCATTACACAGAGTATAAAAACGTGTTAATATCTAGGTCTGATGTATAAAGTATGAGTTTTTCAGATTTATTCTATCAGGGACTACATAAGATATAAGATTACATAAATTTTAGAACTGAGCAGCTAAAATTTCCTAGTTGTTGTCCTCTCATTGTAGTTTATAAAGGAAAAGTCACGGCAAACACAGAGTGGAAAAAAGTATACATTGCTACATTCAAATTTGATCTCATTTTCCATAGATGATTGTGCTTCTGTCTGGACATTTAAAAAATTATTGACGTGTATGTTTGTTTAACCTGAATGTATGTCTGTGCAACAAGTAGATATTTAGTCATCCTGAAATTCAGAAGAGGATGTCTGTCTCCAGGGACTGCTGTTTACAGCGTCCATGTGGGTGGTGAGAATAGAATTTAGCTCTGAATGAGGAGTCTTTGCTTTTAATTGCTGAGCCATCTCTCCAGTCTGAGGTCTGGATATTGTAAACACCTTACTCACTGTGGAGCATTGGAATTAGAGCTCAGGGCTAGAGAGGTGGCTCCACCATTAAAGGCTAGACTGTCAACCAAATACATGAATTACACTTAATGTATAGCTGAATTTTGAATATACTTTTTTTAATGGAGCATGTTTTTATCACAAGAAGTTTAAAATCACTTTATTACTAATAAACATCTATTTTAAGAGCAAGTAAGTGATGCATGTTTGAGCACTTGTCTATCTTCAGTTGGAAACATCAGGTATGAGAACTACCGCCACTAAAACTGTTAACAATGTGAATACACAGTGATTTGGAAAACAAACCTATCAGGCATCAAGTTTTCCATTAGAGACTGGATCTGGTCTAGAGAAAAATTAAATAGACAGAGGCCTACTCATGACTTTGGGTCAGATATACACTCCCTGGGTTTTCCTTTGTGTCAGGGAACACCTAATATCCTCAAATGCTCAGTTGTAAACTGATCGAGCCAGTAAAGGGGTGTATTTGGAGAGGATATTTAAATATTGATAAGTATTGGAAACCCAGTAGGGGGTGGGGTAACAGCTGTTAAACTGGAAAATCTATCAGTGATGTGGGAAGTCCTTCTGTATATGCACTGCTTTTATTGGTTAATGAACAAAGAAGCTGTTTGGGCTTACAGCAGGGCAGAATAGAGCTAGGCTGGGAAAGCTAAACTGAATGCTGGGAGAAAGTAGGTGGAGTCAGGGAGAGATACGATGTAGCCACCAAAGGAGAAACACACCCGTAGGAGTTTGCTGGAACCTTGCTAGTAGGTCACAACCTTGCAGTGAATCACAAATGGGTTAATTTAAGATATAAGAGCTAAGCCGGGCGGTGGTGGCGCCCGCCTTTAATCCCAGCACTCTGGAGGCAGAGGCAGGTGGATCTCTATGAGTTCGAGGCCAGCCTGGACTACAAGAGCTAGTTCCAGGATAGGAAACAAAAACTATGGAGAAACCCTGTCTCAAAAAATAAAAAAAAAAGATATAAGAGCCAGCTAGAAATACACTTAAGCTATTGAAATTAATATAGTATCTGTGTGATTATTTCTGATCTGGGTGGTCAGGAAACAAGCGAGCAGCCTCCATTTATGAGGATGCATTTGGTCCATCTTGGCACAGGTGTAAGAGATTATAGGACTTTAATTTGGGAGCAGGATTTTAGTTTGGGAACTTAGCAAAAGTTGGTCTGGGGGTGACAGAGGCGAGATCAAAGGGAGCCTGGCTTTCCATAGCTAAGTGGTCTCTGGAAAGACTCAACTCTACCTGGGCTCAGCGCAAGATGATAAGTATTGGATCCCCAGTAGTGTTGTTGTTGTTTTTTTTTTCTTCTGATGGAGTAAGTTAGTTCAGGCTGAATTAAAAGTCCAGGTTTAATGAACAAAGCACCTCTGATGATCTCAGAGAAACAGAGGGGGTGAAATCACCTGATAGCTATAAGGAATAGAGCTTCATTACTCTGTAGGCACAATCTTGAGCAGCTACTGGGGAGGAGATTTGTGAGGGGCCAGATTTGGAACAGAAGGAGTGGGGCCAAGTCCCCAGTTGATCATCTGGGTAGTGTTTGGAATGGGGCATAAGCTGAAGATTCTCCCATAATACATGAAGCTAGTATTCTATTTTGAATGCTCAGCTGTGGAAACTTTGTATGGCACCATCATTGGTGGATTTAAATATGCCTTGTAAATTTCTAAAGTGCACCATGTTACACAACAGATGAGTGTTCAGGATCAGAGCCTTTGGGGGCTTCTATTCATGCTGTGGTTTCTTGTATTCCTGACCACTAATTCTATATCCAAAGAACACTCAAGAAATTAGCATGAGTTTTACAATGTAATGTTTAATGTTTGTTTATGTTTGCAATCTTTTCACTGTAAGTCAGGAAATGTAATGACACATGTCAGAAGATCAGAGAAAGAGTCATAGACTGCATGTTTGGCCAAAGGGAAAAGATGCCCCTGAGTAGAGGCTGTTCAATTCCACATACTTTGTCCACATTTACTTGAATTTAAGAATGTTATCTAACTATTTGAAATTGCATAATATCTTGATCTTTTTGTTGATTTATTTAAAAACAGATGTATGCATAAAAATAATCAAATTTGACTCTGGAAGCTGTTCAGTTGTATGAAGAAGGAACTCTTCTAGGTACAGGACTGAGTTCCAAACAGCTAACTAACAGGTGTTTGGTCTCTTCTGCTCTGATGCAACTTTAGGCAGAACGCTTTCCAAGTTGTTGCTGTGGATGGAGTCTGCAGTGGAATTATTCAGTGCCTGTCTACTGAAGACTGCATGGATTGGCTCCAAGCAATAGCAGCTAATATTTCAAGCCTCACAAAGCATAATGTAAGTACTGATTCAAGGAATAATTATACAGCCAGAAAGACTTTCAGTAGTCCCAGGAGCAAGTCTTCCACCATTCATAGGGTTATTTGGTGGCATTTAACTTTGCTTAATCTGCCTAGAGACATAATAAGAATGAGCCTCCTTCTACTTCGTCGGAACACTTCTGAAACACAAGAGAATAATCTCAGCTCACCATGAGAACCCAGACACGTGAGAAAGCACTCACCGTTTTCCTTTGCCAAAAGAAATAAGCAACTGCGTTAAATAAACATGAAACAGAATTTGTCCTGGATGGAGTATGTTTACTTAAGAGCAATAGGATACTGAATTTCAAGGAAATTTTATTGATATGTCTTCAGTGACTTCAGGACTGCTGCTGAAAATATGGGAATGAGGAGGTTCAGGAGAAAGGTGTTAATGAGGATATTGAAAGTCGACCTTAGAATCCTTCAAGCACAATGCTACTGAGTGGATGCCATTATGGGATGCAGGAATTTGTGCAGGACAGCCAGGTCTCTGTCATTACATATAACTTCCCTCTTAATCTGTCTTTCTAAACCCCTTTCTTCTCCCTCAATTCCTGTGTGGTTTTTGTGGTCATCAGGTCTTTGTTATCATTACATTGAAATACTTCATCCTTTCTTGGTATTAATTTTAGAAATGTAGCCCTCCAAAAGTTTGAAAATTATAAACAAGTGAGAAATAGAGAGCTCAGTCTATAAAATTCTTTCTGAGTAAAGAAGAGGACTTGGGTTTGATCCCCAAATCTCTTATGAAGAAATCTAGTGCCCTACACATTTTAATCAGCACTGGGGAGACAGAAAGAGTGAAACCACTGGCATTCACTAGTCAGGAAGCTTCAACAGCTTGCCAAGGTTTGACAAGTTGATATTCTGGAGAGAAAGACGCTATTGATGAGTAATGGATGGAGACCAGCTTCAAGTGGGTGGGTTGCGGGGGAATTCATATCCCAAATAGGATGTGTGGAGGCAGTGAACAGAAAAAGGAGATGGACACAATCTGAGAGTGAAACAGTGAATCAGGATGGCTACCAACATGTCTATTAAAATAATATACCTTTTATACTATATAGTTGCACATAGGATTAAATGGGTAAGAAGCGGCATATGAACTGGGGTGTGACTTCAAATCAGGGGTTGAGGAATCTAGTATTGACCGTGATGAGTTAATAGGCACCAGTCATGTGTTAGTGGAAGGGCCAAAAGTTCCTCTGCTAGGGATATAAGGGTGTCTCCCTTTTGAGCAAGCAGGAACTTTCCTCAAACCCCTGAGGGAATGGAGGTCCTTATCCAAATGCCTGTCCTTGGGAAAAAGGACTTCTGAGGACCAGACACTCCACTGCAATTTAAGAGTAATTTTCATTCTCTAAGGGGCATGATACACTATTTGTGCTGAGCTGTTCCCTAACTGTGTACTCTTGTGTCTTAGTCTTACTAAATGGTCCAGTTCTTTTTTTTTTTAAATATTTATTTATTTATTATGTATACAATATTCTGTCTGTGTGTATGTCTGCAGGCCAGAAGAGGGCACCAGACCTCATTACAGATGGTTGTGAGCCACCATGTGGTTGCTGGGAATTGAACTCAGGACCTTTGGAAGAGTAGGCTATGCTCTTAACCTCTGAGCCATCTCTCTAGCCCTATGGTCCAGTTCTTATATGCTCCCTAAGGGAAGGTCCTATGTTTTATTCTTTCCTCATTATGTGGTACCATTCTGATCTCTCAGCACTTATTAAATGACTCAGGTTCTAAACCTGGATCATCATTGTTTCATCCTTGGGATCAGGTGTGTCTGGTAAATCTCTTAACTTTCCCGTTCTTGGGGCAATTTAGGAGGGTACCATGTTTTTCTGGCTCTGCACTGGCAGGGATTTTTTTCAAAAATAAAATTTTGTTCAGCTAGTCCGGATAACAAAATTTTATTTTTGAAGTGGACAATGAGGAATACTGAGAATTCAAGAACAATTGCAGTGGGTTTTTGACCCTACTGCACGTACTGGCTTTGTGGGAGCCTAAGCAGTTTGAATGCTCACCTTACGAGACCTGGATAGAGGTGGGCAGTCCTTGGGCTTCCCACAGGTCAGGGAACCCTGATTGCTCTTCGAGCAGATGAGGGAGGGGGACTTGATCGGGGGAGGGGGAAGGAAATGGGAAGCGGTTGTGGGGACGAGGCAGAAATCCTTAATAAATAAATAAATTAAAAAAAAATAAAATTTTGTTTTAAGGAGGCTGCAATATTTACATTTTCAACTTTCAAACCCCTCACAAAATTTCCCAAAATAAAAGGCATAAGAAAAAGCTCATAACACATAGTGAGAATCATTAAAAATGAAAGTTAAAAGGTGCTGAAGAAGTGTGATCCTCAATGTTAAAATGCTGGAAATTTGTCAAGCAGCAATGATTGCCATGAGTTCCATGCCAGGTAACATCTGAAGCTGCTCTCTAGTATGGTGAAATTTTATTCAGGTTTTATAAATAAAGCTTTGAAGACCAGAAGGTAGAACTAAGCCACCAGAGGCCAGGCAGTAGTGTCACAGACCTTTAATCCCAGGATTTGGAAGACAGTGGCAGATGGATCTCTGTGAGTTCAAGGCTACCCTGGGCTACACAAGATCAATGCAGAAACAGATCCACATGACAGATGCTACAGGAACTAGCTCTGTGTCAGTCTGAGGATTTCTTAGAGTTAAGAGCTCTGTATTGGCTTGGCTGTTTGCTTTTCTGATCTTCAGGTTGAATCCCAATATCTGTCTCTGGGTTTCTATTATTCGAGCTACACTCTAGTATATATGCACACACATTTGCACGTGAACAAATAGGCTTGTGCACAGACACACCCACCCACACCCAGTAGTGTCACATTGTTAAATGTGATAGCTTTATTCCGTTTTTGAAAAATAAAAATACTTTGGCCACCTATTCCTTTACCTCTGTTTCTTTCTGTGTCTACAGTTGTTTAATAACTTACTGGAATATTTGTGAAATCCTCAGGGAAACTCAGAACTTTGAAATCATCAGTTAGGCAAAATATTTAAATCTTAACAACTGATGAAGTCACAAGTCTGTCTTAAAGTAAATGCCCCTGTCAGCTAGAATAACAATGCGGATTTGCTTTGGACTCAAGAAAGATCTTAGTATATATATTGTATCCTTCTTTAAAATAATGCAAGGCAAGCTCTTATAGCCAGTATTTGATGTGTGCTGCCTTTTGAAACTTCTGGGGGTGAGATCACACATGAAGTTGAGCTCCACTGTGCTGCTAATACAGACAGAGGAAGATATAGCTCTGCATGAATGGAACCCATCAGCCTGGCCAAAACACTTTCGGCTTGAGCAAGAGTGAAGCTCTGCTTCCTGCCAGCCCATCCTGTTAAACCTGAAGTGATGAAGATTGCAATTCTACCCCACTTGTGTTTGGGATCCAGTGGCTTATGAAAATGTGACTATGTCTCACGGCAGCAATGGCGAGAATGCCTTACTTAGGAAGCAAGGTTCTGTATGTGTTCTTTTAAAAGAGCAGAATGCTAGGCTTTAAATATCTCTTTCTCAGAGCTACATCTGGATCGTCAGTGCCCTAGATCCTAGGAAGGATCTTGGAATATCTGTTCCTTGCAAGAAATGTTTAGTTGGAAGGACACCAGTCACCTGACAACACTTGAAAACCTAGTCCTGAGATAGAGAGAAAGTAAAGGTGCAGAGAGCTTTGGCATCAAGGAGCCCAACGAAGCAGATGACAGCTTCATGGCGCAATTTCCACGAGGAGACATTTTCACAACGGCGTGTAGGAAACAGACACCACCTCTGAACTCTTAGTTGTTTCTTTTCTGAAGCTCTGATAAAAATAACTTGACTACAAGAAACTTGAGAATCTATTTGATTTAATAATCCATCAACAAGGGAAGTCGGAGCAGGAAGTCAAGCAGGAGCTTTATACATACTTCTTCTAACAAGGCTGTAGCCATTCCAACAGAGCCACTCCCTTTGAGATTATGGGACCAGTTAGACCCACTTAAACTACCATAATCATACAACTTCCAAGAAAGTCATGGGAGGCAATATCAATACTCAAATCCCAGGAATTTTCTTTAAACCAATCATGGATTTTCCAAGAAAGAAATCAACAAAAGTAGACTTACTCACAATAGTCTCAGAAAAGAAGTACCTAGGGATAGTTCAGGAGAATAAAGACTTCTATGGTAAAAACTGTCAAGCTCTAGAAAAACACTGAAGATGGTAATTGGATGTGGAAAAGAATCCAAAGAAAGAAAGAAAGAAAGAAAGAAATTAGGAACAAAAGCTGATAAAAATATAAAGAGATCTTAAGCACTAATTGGTAAGTTGAATACTGGTGCTGGCATTATAGAAATCAAAATGAGTGAAAGTCATATAATTTAGTTTCTAAAAAAAACTAAAAAATAGAACTGCACTATGATTTGGATATATTCTTTCCCTAGGAACAAACCATTATATAATTTACAAATGCGTGTCTGCATACCACAGAACAGAGAAATGTGTACACCATGTTAACTGCATCATTCTTTTACCTGGTATATAGAACCAGCCTAATTTCCAAGTCAAATATGCCCAGTAGCAGATGAAGAGGTAAAGACAATTTGTTTATAGACACTGAAGTTTTATTCAGCCATAAAAAAGAAGGAAATGTCTTACCAGTACTGAAGCCTTTGGCAGCTCCACATTAGGCTTCAGTATACTCAATAAAAACCTTAGTTTTATAGCTTTTATCTATTTATTTTCATTCTGTTTACTTTTTCTTTGAATTGGCAGTTACTCAGATATGTAGAGGAAATTATTACATTTTGTAATCTCAATCCTTCCTATAAACCATCAGATACTGCTCCCTGCCCTGTTGAAGGTCATTCTATATCTCTTTTGTCCATCTCACTGTCTCTGTACATAGGTGCTACTCAGAACCTGAGTATTAGTCATATACCTAATTTTTATTATTCTCAACTCAAATAT